TTCGAAGGCGGGGAGGGGGGGAGTGTGAAGACGGGGATCTAGATTCGGGATGTCCCTGTTGGGGTTGTGGGCGGAGAGGAGGCGAGCCGGTGGTGGGGCCTCCGTAGAGGGGCTGGGTGGGGATAAGGAGGAGTTCCCAGAAAGTCTAGGGTAGACAAGTGGGGCACTAGTTTTGACGTGACCACAGAGGGTCATGGTGGGGTGAGGGGAGAGGAAGGAGCCCCACTCTGGAGCCTTCCTGGAAGGACTAGGAGTGAAGTAGCATCCCAGGTCTGGGGTGTCCCCAGAGGGTCTACGTGGGTGGGGGTAATAGAGAGGAGGACCCTCAGTTTTGGGGTGTCCCCAGTGAAGGTGTTGCTTGGGTCAGGCAGGAGAGCAGTGGGGTTGGACCTGCTGCCCCGGGGAACACGGGCGCAGGGGACAGTGTGGGTTTTGGGAGTGCCAGGAGCAGGTTTCCCTGCATGAGGGACCCTTTCCAGGAGTGCAGCATTGCTCCAGAGCCAGTAGCCAGAGGTCTCTGGTGCTGATGTCCTCACTGGCTGCTCTGCAGATGGCTTCGGCAGCACGAGTGCGTGGAGAAGCTCAACATGCATGCCATCCTGAGTGCTTCTGTGGGCCAGGAGCAGCTCCTCACCGAGCTGCTGGTCACTTACACCAAGGTGAGCCCCTGGGGTGCAGTGGTGATCCCCATTCAAGGCCTTCAGCCTTGAGCTGGGCTTGTCGTGTGGACAGTGTGCAATTGTGGAATAAAATGGTGAAAAATCTGTTACGTCTCCAACAAATGTATTTGACTGGTGGTTTGCCAGCTTTGGTTTTTAAAAAAATTAAAGGTCAAGCTGTGATATTTCTACTTGCTGATCTCTGGTTCCTCTCTTGGAGGTTGTTGTGGTCTCTTTTGTCCACCAGCCTCTCCAGCTGTAAATCTCTGCTGGGCCACAGAGGGATGTGTGGTGCCATGGCCCTCCCCAGCTCCTCAGGGTCATCTTCCTGCTTTGCAAAGCCAGGGGTTCCCTCTGCCCTTGGTCTGATGAAGAGCTGTTGATTTCTGAGCTGGGTGGACATACAGACAGCATGACCCATGGCCCCCCTCCTCCCTGGGATAACTCAAGCCCATAGCTGAGCGTTACCAATAACCTGGTTCCCCTGCAGCACTGCTCTGAATGGCTTTGCTGCCCCTGTCCCTTCCCTGTCTAGATTCCTGTTCTGATTAGGGAGCTGATATCTGTGGAGATCTGGAAGCACAAGATCTTTCCCGTGCTGTGCCAGCTGGAGGACTTCAAGCCAAGAAGCACCTTCCCCATCTATATGGTGGTGAGTAGAAGGGGCAGCAGGAGCGAGCCTGGAAATGGGGCAGGCGTCACTGTGCTTAAAAATAAACCTCACCCTGAAGATCTCAGAGCTGTGGTTTTACACCTCACTGGGTGGAAAGGCTGCAGTGGGCTGCGTCACCCAGTGGGAAGCACCTGGTTTCCCAAAGCCATGAGTGACAAGTCAATGCCCTTGGCCCCAGGCGGGACAGGGACCTGCTCCCCAGGGAGCTCAGCTCTCTGGGAGGGCTGCACCCCTGCCTAATTCCATGCAGGCTTACGGGAGCTGCTGGATGCAGCAAAAGCCACCCCTGGAGGGGGATGTGCTACCCTCCCTCCCAGGCAGCAAGACCCCTGGGGTGTTTACCCCCCTCTAAGCAGCGTTCCTCTCTGGCACCTCTAACCAGAGGGCTCACCAAGGTTCTGTGCTTCTGGGTTGAGAAAAAAATCACCTTTTCTTACTGGGTTCCTGGGACCAGTGGTCCCTTGGGCCATTCTTGACAAGGAGGTGATTTTGGGAACTGGGCTTCCTTGTGGGGGGATGCAGCCCTTGACCTAAGGAAAAACTGCTCCACTGGTATCTCACTCTTGACATTTTCCTTTTGCAGCTGCATCATGAAGCCTCCATCATTAACCTCTTGGAGACGGTGTTTTTTTACAAGGTAAGAGACTGGTTCAGCTTTCTTCTGTGTAAAGCCCCCAGGGGTGGAAAGCCACAGCTGTGGAGCTTGACCCTCTGTGAAAATCTTCTCATTGTGAAGGAAATCTGCAAGTCAGCAGAGGACAGCATTCTGGATTTAATTGATTATTGCCACCGAAAACTGACCCTGCTCGCAGCTCGGAACACCAGCGGACAGGGAGCGGCCCCAGTGGAGCTTCATCCAGAGGAACTGTCCAGCCCCTCATCCATGCAGGTGAGGAGAAAGTCCTGTAGCTCACTGGGGACACGCCATGGAGGATGTGGGCAGCCCGAAGAGGCACAGGGAGGCCTTCCTGTGGAGAACCCCTTGGCTGCAACACCAGCAGCTCCCGCCCGTCTCGCAGGGCATCTGGTGTTTGGCCCACACCAGCAGCTTGGCTGGGCCAGCAGCTGCAACCACCTCCCTCCACCCCGCTGCCATGCTCCCCACCTCTCTCCTGGCAGTGCCAGCTCGAGGCTTCCTGCAGGATGCAGTCTGAGCTCTGACAGGGGGATGCTGGAGAGCTGGCAGGCAAAATATTCAGTACAGGGCTTTTGGCCCTTTGTTGTTGCTCTTAAAAGTTGTGCAGGTATATCTACATGGAGCTTGTGAAACCACCCTAAGGTGGAGCCAGCCAGGGTTAACCACAAGAGGGATCCTTCTCTAAATTTGATGTACAATATGACTTGGAATTGTCCTAATGTGTTTTCCCCCAGCTTCCTCAGCTCTCAGAGAATGACCTCCTCTCTGTGCTGGTCTGGGCCAGCAGCGAGCCTGGAGCTGTTCCTGGGCTGCCACACACCCCTTCCCAGTGCAGGAGCTCTCCCTGCTGCTAGTGTTTCTCAGCACCCGAGTTTTCTCCTTGAGCTGTGCACATCACAAGGAGTGTCTGGAGAAGGGGGCTTAGAGTGATAGCCTGCAGGCTTGGCTGTACCTCCCAGCATTGCATCCATCCTTTGGCTTTATGCCCAAGCACGTGCTCCCCTTCCAGAAAAGGGAAGGAAGTGGAGGGCTCTGGAGCACAATAGGGATGTTTTCCAGGAAATGTTTTCCCAGCTGAGGAGGGGAAGAGGGTGTCTCTGTTAGTGATTTGACATGGCTCAAATGAAAAACTCAACCTTTTCTAGCCAGTAGAGCTCTAAACAGTGTTTTTTTGGCCAAGGAGCCTGGTTTCCTCTGATTCATTCCAGCCCCTCCTGACTCAACATACAATAACTCCACATAAAAAAGCTGTCCCTGCCCTCTCCTGTCTTGTGGAGCCTTTTGTCCTTTGCTGCTGCGTATGGTGGTAATCCCTGGAGCAGGACCTGTTCTGCTGTCCCCCAGAAACACAGGCAAATATAGCAGAGATGAGGCTTGGGTACCAGGAGGAGCTGTAGGAAAGAGCCTCAGTGAGGGAGTTTAGAGAGGGAGCTGTGGGGGAAGAGCCCATAAGGCTTTCCTAGTAGCGTGTGGGGCACTGGCACGGGGAGCACAGGGCTTCTTACCACAGGAATTTGGAAGGGAGCTGTTGCAGTGACGCTTCAGAGAAATAAGAGGTGCTGAGGTCAGTGTTCTGCAAGTGTTCTGTGCACAAAGATGTGAGCTGCTGAGCGTCTGCGGGTAGAGAGGAGAATCTCTGCCTGGGCCAGGGAGAAGGACAAGGCACCTCTCAGCCCAGCCACCTATCCTGATGGACTGGGAAGAGGCTGAGCCAGAGGGTGGTCAGGCTGTCAGCCTGAGCACATGGAGGGTGAACAGTGTCCACTCCATCTGGGGAGGGAAGGAGGCTGGGTGGCTGAAAAGCACGGCATAGGTGTGGGCTAGCATAACCACAGGCAGATATTCTAGCTGGCTGTACACAAGCTGGAGGGGAGAGGCAGATCCAGGAGAGGTGGATGTAGGAGTGCAGCTGTGCCAGGGCTAAGTTTTTTCCTCTTCCTCCTCCTCCTCTGGTTCCTCTGCTGATCATGCAGCTCCCCCCTCCCTTAACTTCACAGGTCTCTGCACTGTGATGATCCTCAAGACAGTCCCAGAAGGGAAGAAAGGAGCTGTCTGGGACTGGCATCTTTCAAAGGCTGTCCCTGTGCAGAGGCACTGCTGCCTGTAGCCACTCGTGACCTGTTGGGGGTTAGGGAGATGAGGGACCAGCAGCAGTGGGACACAAGCACTTCTGCGGCTGCCTTGGCAAACAGGCAGTGCTGGCACAGACGAGATGAGAAGCAGAGTTTGTTTTGCAGGGCTCTGGTTTCCTCCCCAGTCTGTGGTTATGGATGAGCAGCCAAGAGGCTGCCTCCCTGTGGCTCCTGGGAAATGGGGCCTGAAATCCCGAGGCTGTGCTCGTCCCTCCACAGGAGCTGCAGAAGCAGGCGGAGATGATGGAGTTTGAGATTTCCCTGAAAGCCCTGTCCGTGCTGCGGTTCATCACCGACCAGGTGGAGAGGTTGGTGCCCAGGAGCAGCCGGGGAGATGCTCCGAGCCCTCGCGTAGATTCCTGTGGGGTGGCAGTGGGTGCCTGGTCTCCCTTCAGCCACTGGCTGTGCCCATGGTGGCAGTGGCACTGTGCCCTGGGAGGCAAAGCCAGCAGCACTCCACCCTGCTCCGTGGTACTTGGGAGAACCCAGACTATTGTTTCTTTTTCCCCCTGCCTCTCCCCATTGCCTCGGGGAGCATTTGTATCTACTCTGGCATTTGTCTGCAAGCACCATTTCACCCTTTCTATCATCTCTCCAGTCTGCCCCTGAGCGTGCTGACACGGATGCTCAACACCCACAACCTGCCCTGCCTCCTTGTCGAGCTGGTGGAGCATTGCCCCTGGAGCTGCTGGGAAGCGGGTACGGATCGTTCCCCACGGTACCTGGGGCACTGTGGTGGCATTCTGGGACCTGCAGCGTGGTGGGATTGCTGTAGGAGCTCTTGTAGAAAGCTGCTCCCTCTCTACCCTCCCCTCCAGCCCCTTGCTCCTCACTAGTGCTTCCTGAAGCTGTTCAGCTCGGAAGCAGCTGCAGCACAGCTGTGATGGAGACCCAGCAGCGCTCCCAAAAGCTGAGCCTCACTCAGGCCTGTGTCTCTTCTGAGCTGAGCACAGCCAGGACAGGAGCACAGCACGTCTGCCAGTCCCACCTGCTCCACTGGAGAGTGTTGTCCTGGACACAAACAGACCAGGGTGCCAGTCCCAACCTGTCCGCAGCTTCCTGGGACAGCACTAAGAATCAGAGCCAGACGT